CAGGGTGCACCAAGTGGAGGTAAGTCTATCGCACACCCCAGTTACGACAGTCTAATGGAATGGCTTTATAATAAGGCTTCAAAAAATTTTATTTCAATCATTGCACTAAATCTTAAGCCTATAAAACCAGCACGTATAACTTATGATGCATAAATTATACCTATTCGCTTATAATCCAATGCTGAATTTCAAGAGCGTTTACTAGGAGTATTCACAATCTTAACTTAATCTAGTAAACTCGAAATATTTTGAAGGCATGAAGTCTAAAATAACTTAATCTTATTTAGTCCTAAGAAGAAAGTCAGCTATAAACAAGCAAAAAATTACTATCAATAATTTTATAAATTTCTTCAACTTGCCACGTATTTGCCACACCAAAAATCCTTAAGGCATATTCTCCTATGTTTAGAAAGACTACCTGAACTAGCTAAGGTACCAAACAGCTATAGAGGAAAAAGACGCGTCACACGGAACATGTCTATTTGGTTTGTTAGGAAATTTAGTCATTATATTTAAAAGGCGGGTTTGATAAACCAAGCAAGGATTATTATTTGTTGTTTTGATGCGTTTCCCACACTCACGATCGCACACAATCCGTACGCGATGTTGGACGACTCAAATTCAAGCTTGTCTGAGTGTATAGCTGATCACCTGTTAAGCGATGACATCGTATTACACACACGAAATGTTGTGAGCAGCCAATGTCTCAGCTCATAATCTATTGGTAGGTTAAATCTATAGCATTGAAAATTGAAAAGGACAAAGGTCAAAATCTACGAGGCATTTACTGATATGGATATGCCTACTAACTAAAGGAATAAATTCACAGGCACAAAATGTCCATCGAAGCTTCACGTAAATATTGCACTGTCCGACTCAATTTTCACAACCATTGGCCACTCAGGTGTGGGACACGTCATCGCATGCCTGCACGCCATGGGACACGTCATCGCATGCCTGCACGGCAGGATTGGGAGGTGCTACGTCATCGCATGCCTGCACGCCATGATTGGGAGGTGCGACCGTACAACCAGTGACCAATCATTAACCTCTGTTTGTTTAACCTAATCTGTCATCCTGATCATGATTAAGCTTCCTGCGTGAAACTTTATCTGCAATACTCGTACTGAATTAACGTGCTCCGTGCTACACGTCTTTTTCCTTTCATAGCCGGGCTATAGCTTAGCTGGTTCTGGGAGTCTAGCTAGATGTAGGAGACTCTGCCATAGAGATTACTGAGTTAATCAGGCTTTAATAAAGTAGCAATCCGCTACACAGGTGGCATTTTAAAGCACAAACGTCTAAAATGGGAAAAATACACAAAAAAGGTAGAGATACGCAATCTCCCGCATATATGGGGTTTTTCTCAAATAACATGAACAACCGTTCATGGTCAAATTGCTTCTTTTCATACTAAGCAGTACTTTAAAGTTCGGTGCACAACGCAACAACCCCGACATTTATATTCACCACCAAGATCCAGAAGAGTTTCAATGTTTTTTAATTAAGTCATTATATTTCTATACTTATAATACCTTTATATGATTATTTTGTAATCTTTAAAATTAAGCAATAAATATATTATATCCTCAATTATATTTAAATCGGTCCAAAAATCCTCGACATACCATTTATAACACACTACCATAAGCATCTATTTTGTAAACGAATACCATTGCATTGCAATCAATTCCACTCATGAAAAGTCAATGACTTACAAGAGAAGAGAATAGAGGCTTCTAAGCGCCCTCTTCTACGCTAAGCTAGGACACACGCATGAGTTAGGTGTCATGTGTGGGCAATGGTGGTCATAGGAGTGTAGAGGCTATAAGACCACAGCAACAATTGGGCGCTTGCTGTGCGTGGGGGGTGGAGGTACGAGTAGGTACGAGCGTGCTTCAAGTGCGTGCCCAACTTCTTCACCTGGGCAGTGCCTGCGCCTCCTTACCCAGGAAACTCCAACCCTCACCTCCACGTGGTCCTGGGTGGTAACGTCAGCCTCCTGTATTCACGCCGCCTTCTCAATTCACTCCTACCAACAGGAGCAGGCAAGAGACCCGCGGTGGTGACCAGGACACTGACGGCGAACGAGGGCTCTGGGCAGAATTGGCTAGCCAACCAACCATCCAGCCAACCGATCAGCTATACTTCCTCAACTCTGTTACAAGTAGAAAGTCGAGAGATAAATGCCCAGTGTTGATGCACATCCAGTTTCCATAAGGATGACTCCTTCCCCACACCAAACTATGCAGTTAATAACATTTCTCCTGATATTCTACAGGCCAAACAATTGTGAAGTTCATCCAAGCACACTGTATGAATTCAATGACCACATTAGCACCAATTAACCATAATCAGTTAAAAAAAGTTGCTTTAGAATCCGAGCTCTTAGAAAAAACTGCTGCACAGTAAATCCTCAAGTGTTGTGAACAATTCACTTAAAAGATTCTTCCCATCAAAACATTGAATATGCATTTTGAATTTCAAATTCATACCCCAAAAGCGATTGCAACATTATAAGAGATTAGGAAAGTGCACGAAATGGTACTGACAACACACAATGGTACATTTGTGCGTGTTAAGGAGACTACCGCAGGTTATTGTTCGTGTCGCAGGTGGAAATAGGGAGAATGAGGAAGTAGACTACAATCGGCGGAAAATCGATACGAGAACAAACCCATCGGCCGATAGTGTGAATAAATCGATATATAAATCATTGCGAAATAGGTTAGAAAATTATGGGACAAAATGAAAATGTAACGAACAAGAATTCGCACCGAAACGGAACAGTTAGGAAAGAATTACTCACATGAACTAAAAAGTGCCCGACAATAGACATTTTACACACATTTTCCTCATCAAAATCACAAAACAGATAACGCCAAGTACCACCTTACATGGAAATGAAATGAGCGTAGATTGTCTGAGATCAGGAGCACAGGGGAATCGACATACGAGAATGAGGTAATGTAGGATATTTTTTGAGGAAAGAAAAAAATAGGAGAAAGTAATGAGTTTGCTTAAACTAGCTTTTTCGAGAGGGGGAAACAGAATGACGCCTCACATGAGCCTCGTAGTCGCGTTCAACAACCTCAATCGGAATAACTCGGCGCGGAGAAAGCGACTCGTTTCCTCTGTGTTGGGGTGGATTCATAAAATCTTCGTCTATAGGAGAAACAATAGAGCGAAACCAATAAAAATCTAACACAAGAAAAATGCATATAATTGGAACACGGAAAAAATGTTTGAGAAATTCTACGAAGGAGAAAAAATTCACCACAAGAAAAGAGCAAAACCGGCGTTAAAAAGAACCTACTCGATTTGTATGATTAGGGTCGCATGTATGCCAATAAAATTGCAAAAATGAGTACGGAAACTAATGTTTACGTGATCGTTCCCCGATGGGGTATCTCCAACAACATTGGACAGTGCTACCAAATAATGGGATGAATGAATACGCAAAACGTAACCACAAATTAAGGTATTTGCATGGTACATCTCTTTACAGTCACCATATTAAATGCTACCAACAGAAGTTGTTAAAAGACAAAATACAAAACAAAATATTCAGGCTTAGATAGGAACTAGTTCATCAAATTAATCGACTGTATGAAAATGGCGGCCAAAAGAAAATACAGAACTAGATTTTGGAAATTTAAGAGTCTCAGAAAAAAATGAAATGAAACAATGACCTATGAAGCAACTACACCTTCCAAAAGGCCTAACCAATTTGCTTCTTTTACCAATGGGTTAGGATTTTTGTGCATTTTATTTGTTGAATCCACATTATTACCCAAAACAAAGTTGGCAGCTGATCCAATTAAACAATTTAGCACAGATTTCGGACTTTTGGGATGATTGGTCAATTGGCACTTATCAATATAGTAACTCAATTCCTCACCTTCCGAGTCATCAACTTCCATTGCCGCATACTAAACACGCTATAAGATTTAATAATAAGTAATACCTTCTCAATCACAGGAGGCAGTCTGGGTAAACATTCTGGAATCCATACTATAAAATGTAAATCTTGAAAAACCTTAAGATCGCAAATTAACCAATTGAAAGGATTATACTATGGATAAAAACTTTATGGGGAGAAAAACGCGCGAATCACCTGACAAAAACAATTACTGGACTTCGTAAGACGCGCACTAAGCAAGGTCTTCTATTCTAATTTTAAAGTAACTCAGTTAAACTGTAATAATTAAACTTTCATTAAGACAAATTATTTGAATATGAAATTTGTTCATTTTAAAAAATTAAACTTAATTTGTATAAATTATGTTTTAAATTTGTGTCCCTATTCAAAACCATTTAAAATAATCTACAATAATTTGTATCTTCCTTTAGCATGTTTAGTTCACTTTTTTTCATATTCTTTCAAACCATTTAATTTCTTCTTATTGCCAATTGACTTATTTGTTAACTATGCTGTGGAACTTCATTTTGTCTGCTTAATTATTGTTAAGCAACAAATATTACATCGACTTGATTGTAGATGTTCAATTCCATGAATGTTTGCATTTATTGCAGTAAAATATAATTGTGATTTTAGGACATTTATAAAAATATATTTGGTCCATTTAGGTTTCTTCCCAAAGCTTGCATGACCGAATGCAATAAGGAATAGTTATTTAACAATAACTGTCAAGTTCCTTTGCTTATGAATGCCTTTCATATGGACTCGCATGGCTGTTAATCATTAGCCATAGATGTTATTTTTCAAAAGAATGTACACCACATCTAATATTTTGGCATTGTGATGGTAAAACTTGTTTGCTTTATTGCAAAATTCAGGCATTTATTGGTTTCGATGGATATGCATTATGTATGCTTTCCACTACATCGGTGCCTTAGCAGTTTGGTTTCACCCTTGCAAAGTCGTAGAACTCATTACGCCACATTTATTGAATGGCATAACAACTATAATGGCCAAGATATAGATTTTATGAAGAGTCTGTTGAAGTGACTGAGAAATTATTAAGCTTGCTTTTAATAATTACTATTTTGAGGTTTTATATATTTATTTTATTTCAAATAGTGGTAATCCATCATCTATCCCTGATTCCTCTAACTTCTATTGGTGCATGATCTGTTACTGATAAATTAAGATCAGTTTGTCAAGTCAAACGTAATTAATCCTATGGGAATTAGAAGCCATAATACTTCAGCTAACTTTTATTGTATTATTGTATTAGACTTCAATTTATTATGATTAGCTTGAAACGACTCTATAAGAGCAATCGCCCTCGTCAGGGCGAATCACAGCTTATACAGATCCTTCAATGGAATACCGGAGGGATGTCACAGGATATAAAGATCAAAATCCAGAAAATCTTACATACCTATGACATAGAAATATGCTATTAATTAACTGCTATATATATCTCCCCCCTTCCCCTAACCATGGGGAAAGCTGAAGTCAACTAAGGGGCTAATGATAAATATCATAAAGCCTGCCATTTGAAATAGTAATAATAATAATGACATTGCTGCTAATAAATTTGGTTGTTAATTGAAAGCTAACTTTCTTCCTTAGAATAAACAAAATTAAGCAATTTCAGACTGAATGTTTTCAAAATATTTAGAGAATGTTGTTAGATCGTCTTATGAATATGAATATTTCAAACATATAGTTTTACAGGCTTAAGAATTAGTTTAATGGTTAGAATAAAATTTTTAGAGCCTTATTTAAAAATTTATCAATTGGATTTTTCGATCGAATTGCAAACTTCTATGAGTCCTCTTCACATGGGTTTCGAGTGAGAACTTCCGAGTGAGCGAATGTCCAATTAGTTCACACTTAAAAATTTATTACATTGAGTTTTAAAAAAGTAAAAAGGGAAAATACTGTATATTACTAAATTTTGATTCCATTAACTTCTTCGCCCCATGCCCGTCCCATTTTAATAGCCATTGGTTAGGAAGTTGATAGGAAGACGGAGTAGTGCTATGTAATGCGTAGGTAATAGAATATCAATTCAGTGTTATGTAGCACATGAACCTAATACGATCAAATTTAGCTATCTCACACTCGCTCGAGTATTCTGGAAAGTGTGGTAGTGATGCCGATTCGCGTTGGGCAACAAATGAGGTTTTGAACGCTGAGACTTGCACAAATCAATAATCAGCAGCCATTGCAGAGTTAGCGTAGTCAAAACAATATTTAATGCCTAAGCTCTGTACCCATCTCTCATGAAGGGCAGATATACCTCAGAATACGCAACACAAATATACGTATTCCGCGTCATAGGTGCGCTTCCTACAAGTCATAGGGCGACTTTGCCATACTGGGGTGGGGTGGGGTGGGGAAGGTGGAGGGGGGGGGGATTGCATATTGTCATAGAGATTATTCGTGTAGCGATTTACTACAGTGACTTTGACTTATCACTTCTGCACCATCTCCATGGTAGGTCATGGCCCTCTCAATCTATCCCAATCAACTAGACCGAAATTCAATAATGTGAATGTAAAGCCATAACCAGAAGTATCAATACCATGAGTTTGTTATTAGCCTTTCCCCCAAACGAGGCTACTTTCTCGATAACATCAAAATCATCAATTGGGAGAATGCACTTGTGTTAAAAGATTTTTTGGTGGGAATTGAATATAGAGCATTTTACATCCAATGTAGCATCAAGTTCACAAGAGCTTCTAAACCAGTCCCAAAGTTGACTGCAAAGTGCACTCATCTTTCATCGATTGATAGGCATTGATGTGGTCACGACAGCTAGCAATTTATAGATTCTCTAAATTCTCTCTAGGTTGTTTGAGTGCGAAGAAATGGTCTGAATGTCGAAAGGCAAAGCTTAAGAAACCTATAATATAGTAGTGCAACTAATTACTTCCCACTTATTTGAAATTATTCCTTCCACAATTTCGTGCAAATTCACTAACGTCTAGTGTAGTGAGACATAGGGAATATGAAACGATAATCGTTCGGAAATTAACACTAGTTTATTAGCTAGTATTATTATCGATTTGGGTAGCATTTCATGGGCGCCACTAGTTACATGGTGGGATTTATCGACTATATTGAACTAAGTATAAATTTCCAGGGTTTTAATTTGTCCAAATTTTCAAATTTCTTATCGGCGAGTTCTAATCAACAAAAATTTATTTCAGAATTTCTCTTAACACAGTTAGCGAAACATTAATCGATTTGAAATAATTGGCCAATCGTATTGCCAAAGTAGCACCATATGACTAGATGTTGTTCAATTTTCATATTAAAGTGAACACATCACTATGAGGGGTATATAAACCCTCATGGAAATCTGTGGAGTTGCTTCATACCAGGGGGTGGGTCAGTTGCGTAGAGTGAGATAGGCTTAGTTCTCTTCCTCCTTTTTCCTTCCTTATCCTTCCTAACTCCTTTCCTGTCTAGCTTCCACCCTAGCGTTAGTTTGGTTGCAGTGGGGCTGGTGTGAAGTAGAATAGAGTTGGAAGCCTGTAGAGACAGTGGTTCATCCAAGTTAAGGTAAGCTGCAACAGCAGTTGCAGTAGTAGAAGCAGCACAGGCTTCCAAAAAGATAGTGGAGCCTGCGTAACCACCGAAAGTATCCAATCCTATTTTTATAGGAAAGGATATTGGCGTGTCCTGTCGGGTCCGGGGCTCGGCCCCGTTTTTTTTCTTTGGGGCCGCAGTTCCCGGACTCGGCAGGGCGCGTCTAGGTGGACCTACGCAGGTAGCGTGGGTTTGGAATGTGGGCAGCGTAGGCGCCGACGCGGAGA